ACTTATGTTTCTTTGGTCTCTTCTGGAGCCTTAACGGGAAGTGACTATGAACTAATGCGACAACGTATTTGGACAGTCGCAAGATCTGAAGGACTGCAAAACAATCTCTGCCTTACCACTGTGCAAACTGTTTACGACACATCGGACTCCTTCTTTAGACCGATATTGAAAGACAACACTCACCTAGTTCACACATATGTAAAAGCGCACTACGCTTGGAATTGAGACACAGGACGAAAAGAACAACTGAGCTCTACAGAAAATCAGTGGTACTACAGTTAATTCGTGTCAACACGAATCCTTCTGCTTTAAAGGGCAGTCTATTTCAGTTCTGCAGTTGTTCGCTGTATACATGCAGGAGCCAAAAGCAGAAAACAGCATCCTCCTGAATACAATTAACAAATACTGAACAAATACAACGTGTTGGCAGTTAACGTAGGTTATCATCGAAAACAATGGCCTTAAAAGGAAAGCTAACGCTCTTTGCAATTAGTGATGCTTATTTGGTTGAAACGTATCATTTATATGAAACAAAGAATATTTTTAGCATTCGTCTTTTGTTTTCCTGCAGATCATACTACGAGATAACTAACTTTTCAAATTTCAAGATAAAAATAGTTTGTAAAGATGCAATGGTGGCGATAGATGACTTATCGCCTGCCGCTATTTGCTTCATATGTAAACATGATGAAGGTGTTGCTTCGCTAACTGCTGAACTGCCGACGAAAGTGAATAGAGCACTGCCTTGAAACAGGGAAACGAGAGGCTAGATGCCACCCTCAGACGGTTCTGTCTTCTACCATCACATACTCATTCACCATCGCTGTGCCCGTGCGAAAGTGGAAAGGTTACATGTATGATTTCTTCCTGATAATAACATCAACATCAGATCAGAACCTCATACAAAACCTCAGAGAGGCAAAGCATTTTGAATAAAAACAGCAAAAAATGAATAACAACGGTTTCGGTCACTAACCGTCGAATAGCTTCAGAAACGCCTCGCCACTTTCCTGCATTGTATCAACAAAAATAGTCGGCAGCATCGTCTGCAGAAGTTTGGTCCATCGAGGACCATGCAGCTTTGAGAGTTGCAACTTAAGCAGCAAACGAACCGCCAATAGTCGTCGATCTGCATGGTTTGAGATACAAATCACATGCATAATTACAACAAAAAGACCTAAGAGAAAAAACACTGTTATGAAAAATACATCAGTGCGAAATTTGAGCAAGGAGAAAAACCTTACACATGGTGCATTAAACAGAGATGCACATTTTATATAAAGTGGTAGTGTCTTATGCATAATTAATATTTCCATATATGTGCTTAGATATTATAGCACTAAGAAGCTAAGAAAGATAGAGACGGTAGCGAAAACCTGTTAAACTCATTCATAGCCTTTATTCTTAATATCAAATGTACGTTATTGCCATATGATAAACTAGAATCACGAATATCTTGAGATCACATTTCACTGGTACAGATGCAGAACGCCGTGACACACAAAAGCCGCCGACACTATGTCGCGCAATTACCTTCTGTGCGCTTTGATCATTTCATAACGTAGGGCTTGTGACGAGAAAAAATGTCGCGACTCAAAAGTTTAGAATATTCGTATAACATTATGAAAATTTAACGTTAAACAATGGAACTATGTTCTACTTTATTGCAAGTAAACTGAATAAATATTTTTTTCAATAGAAAACGGTTAAGGTTCCCGCCTCCACCATCAAAATATTTCAATGACTGGTGGGCGACGGAGCCAGTAAACATACCTCTTTCCAAAAAGTCTGAGGTCATCCTCGCGTTGGACACCAAATTCATGCATAACTGAAACACAGCAGATATGCTCTCGCTGGTCGAAATTGCCAACGTTAACAAACAAGGAAACCATTCTGTTGACTGGGCGATGTCCGCAACGCAGTTTTCGTTCTGAGTAACAACTAAAAGCAACTGAATGGCTAACTTCCAGCAGTCGGCATCAGAACCGATAGTCAGGAGCCGAAACAACGACCTGAAGTAGCCGACGGTGACTGTTTCCAAACCTAAAACGAGGACAGTGCACTGAAAGCATAAAAAGCATGAGGAAAGAACGAATTATCGAAATGACCAAACGCGTATTGGGTATTGGGCTTAAATGGAATATTAAGGCATAACAGTAAAGATTAGTGTAAATTCCTAAACAGTCAACTGGAAAGGAATTAGCATGAAAGCGCGTAATTCAACGTTTTGAATTTATTATCGGTTCCGCAGTTGCGGATAAGAGAAAAGCCGACAAATTTGTCATGAAGTTTTTAATTTTGAGAGTTGCAAATAGCGAACATACACAACATTGGATCCGGATGAAAGGGCTTAAAAAAGCGGAGACAGAAATAACAGCGGTTACGAGAATCCGTAATTAGTGGTTTATTGTATTCACCATCTTGAGCTGTTTACATAACCTCTTAGGTACGTGGTGCACGCTGGATTTTTAGCTTTTCCCAACTTTTCTATGAAACAGTCGCAACAAAGTCATGGAAGGAATAAACTACTTTGAACGCAGATTTGCATTCACCTTGTTATTGCAAGTAATATGGCGCAAATTAAGCAGCTGATGAGTGAACCGCTACAAGCGAGACAGGAAGCGAATCGGTAGGAAGCTGCTCAGTCAGCATATAAAGTGCAAACATAAAGTAATGACCAGTACAGGTTTACGAAAGAAGCAATCCTACACTGATCATATTTTCGTTTTGCTGGATCACTTGGCAATGTTTATAGCACCACCTTCTAGTGTATGCAACCTGCAACCCTCATCGATCTTGCTGCTGCAACATGATTCAACCCACCGCTAGCAATATAGAGAATCTTTGGAACTTTGAAATAATAGAACACACCGTCATCCCAGTGGAGAAGTTGCACGATGGAACGACTAGTGTGACAGGCGAAGGGCCAATTGCTAGACTGAAAACAGCAGCAAACACTGCAACGTACTCTCCGCCTATTGTACTTGTAAAAGCAGACTACATTCCATGAAACAACGTTGTGAACGTCAGTACGAAAATGGTCTCATGCTGGAGTGGAGGAGAACCTCAAGGTACCTTGTGAAGCATCTTACAGACCTAGGCCATGCAGATGAGACTTTCATCCTGAACGACAAGGACAAAGATCTGCGGTGTGGCAGACTGCAATGAAAGAAGACTTCTAGCTTAATCCACCGTGAATAAGCACGACGCAATAGACTGCGCCATAATATAACAGCATTAAAAAGGTCGTACGGTGTTAGTGATCAGCGCCATCATCGTAAACAATGACAATGATGATCAAGAATCAAACAGGAGGATTGAGTTCACTTCTTAAACCTTCAGAAACCTCTCAAAATCAGGACTACACCAAGATCAACTTATACCTACTGGTGTCACGTCGATTTTACAGTATGCCCTTACGGCAAGAAGGACTTCACACCTTTGGGTCAATGTACAGAAAAAAACTGGCACATTTCAAGGCCAAAGCGCAAAAATATTACAACAGCAGTAAGACCAGACTTGACAATATTGGTACTGAAAGTACAATATATAGAATAAACTAAACACATACCTGCATTAGAGGAATAAAGATTGAGGAGTGCCTGTAGGACTGAATTTATATCAGAAACAATAATTTTCAAATCGCGAGAGTAGGTTGGTCGATTAATCACTTCTGCATTATCAAGTCGCTTTTCGAGTTCTTCAATAAAGTCAAATATCTGAGTGCAGAGCGATACCGGATCCTGTAAAGAAACTGGTCTAGCAACGTACACAGTCGATCGCTTAAAGCGGGTTTATTACAGCAAAAATGAAAGCAGAGGCTAGAGTACAAGAAAACATCTCGGACAATTAACGTTAATTAAACAACACTAAAATAACATGGCAAAAAACGTTATCAATAAAGCAAACTGATTTAAGAGTTCTGATCATGACAAATGCTGTTGAATGATTCAGTCACCAAATGATTTCTAATGAAGAGGCGACAGTAGCAAATGGCAAGTACTCCTGGTTTTTTTAAAGGCAAATCTAATTTCAAAAAAAAAACGTTTTAGCTACAAACCAAGATGAGTGGATTACACATTATTATAATAAGTAGCAGGTTCAAGGGTCACAAAAACAACGAAGAGATGAAAAAATCTTCACTACACTGTTAGCATTATGGCTTAACGATAGTGACCATTCTCAGAACAAACAATGAAATAATACAAGCAGTAGAGTCAGTGCCAAATTACCTAAGGTTGCAAATCAAACCCCGAAGATGTCAAAGCAACTGCCGCGGCAGTTGTATAACCTGCTTTTGTTGGCAGAGATGCTGTGATTCCTTGATCAACAGCGCGACAGTCGCTTTAACGTCTGATCATGGTGAAATCAGCCTCATATAATCTAAGAACATTTTGGTACACTCTGTTGCAGTCGCAAATGCCCACCATAACTCTGAAATTTGGCACTGTTTGTCTGAGTACACCAATTTACCGCTAAATATTGTTTAGCAAAAACTTTGGCAAAAAAAAGAAGCTAAAGAACTGAACATATGTCTGCTGCTTGGCCTACAACCATTGTATCTTCTCCACCTGTATTGAAGAAGGAACGAGATAATGTTTTCGCGACATCACAGCACTATAATAAAAATACGTTTCCTAAGAATGGATTATAAATGCATCTGATCGTTAGTATCCATATGGTACAATGCATCGGCAGAGAAATTGGAGAATTTGCATCCAACTGTAATGACTTCAGTCCTGCAGAAGTGCAACGAGTGTTTGGTTAGCCCACAAACCGACAATCTGTTCAAGAAAAGATAAAACGACAGTTTTCGTTTACAAGGTGTACACCTGACAGCATTTTCCGTAGCTAAGTGCTGTTAATAAAAACAGCTGCTCGTCATGGAAATGCAGATCTTCTAAGGCATAATTTACATTTAATGTCAGCCATTGATGAGTTCGCAGACCAACGATTACGCAGATCATACTCTACAGGCTGGCGGATTGCAGTTCTACCTCATTGGCAGCTGCTAGAACTCGATAAACATAAAAGTTGACTCGCTGCATTGTTCCTAGTTCTGCTTAATTTACACAAAAATACACTCTCAAATAATAATGATGAATTGTCTCATTTACGTAAAGTACTCAGGTACAAGGTTCACTTTTTTTATGAATCAGACAACCTCGATAAGCAAGAGGCTATGGAGAATAGCATGTAGGAAAAAGGGCCCTATTAGGTACCAAAAAATATTCAGCTCAATGGTTACGACTAACAAATGGACGACAAACATACTGTCACTGTGGCAGTCACTATTCGTCGACATAAACAGGTAAAAGATTCCGTGAATGAGACAACAAACCTGTTGGCAAACTAAGAAAAGCAAGTGTAGCATACTCTTCGAACGAACTCTTTGTTTACTCTCTCGAAAGATGCGTTAACGTGATCACTTTTAAAGAGCGAACAGTGGCACACTCAAAGACGGAATCTTGCCGAGGCGAGATTTCTAACTTTCGGTCAGTCTGGCATGAAAGACCATATACTACGAGCAAATTGATATATTATAAGGCAATGCCTTAAACGAGACTAAAATACACAAACTCCTCGCCTCGTTTCTAGAGAGGCTGAAAACAAGACCTTAAGGGACCATCTAAAAAAATTTTCCGGCCTGAATTTGAATAGTATTCCACAAAAAAATACAACGAAACTTACGGTTATTTTGAAGGTAGGAGTTTCGTTGTAGACCCGGATGTAAACGCTTCCGACCATCAGCTCATTTTTGACAACACTGTAAACAAATGGTCCATCGGAATCTACACGCTAAAAACGTACGAGTAACGCTCATAAAGAAAGCAGAAGAACACGAGGTGAAATATTCAGCTACTAAAATTACATAAGGTTCATTTGAGCTCTGATATGCGTGAATAAGTTCCAGCAGTTCAGCACGCGTTTCGTTGTTCCATATGACGTACGGACTCTCAGTGTTAGTTGTTAAGAGCTTTAGGACCTGCAGAAAAACGCAATGAGAACGCGATATTCCGGTGCGCGAATAATGTACCTCCTCGAGAGCATCCCTTTGAAACAATTCCACTGCGTAACTACCCAGAAATACATGGACTGTTTCGCTGGCCACGTCGTTTGGTTCGTAGCCGTTTTTATAGCCGGCCAAACAAGAACAAGCAACACAGCTCTGAACGGCCAACTTGTTTTCATAGGCCTACAAATTGAGT